CATATGTCAATATTGTTTCCATTAAAAAAATATTACTAACAATGCTGGAATGAATATTCTGTGTATACAATTTTTGCATTTTCCTGATTACTTCCAGAATAAATTATAAGAGTTGGAATTCTGGGTCAAATTTAAAATTTGATGTTTAGAGAAGGCAGTTCATAAATAATATAAATGCTGTAGTTGATATGCTGACTTTTTCGATAATAGATTATCATCCATTTATTACCGAGAACTGTATTAACATATGTCTTAAAGTCCATCAGTTGTATTCCATATTTATTCAGATTATCACCTCATTAGGACAGACAAATATGAAGTCAATCAGCTGAAATGAAACAAAGATGCTTAAATGTAATTAATCAACATTCACTTACTCCATGGGAATATTGTGGCGAGAAATAATGACACTAGATGTGAGCATTGTTTGAGTGATAATTACTAACCAAAAAATAAAATGTGAATTTACTGCTTCAATTTTAAGATTTGCTTTTCTTGCATTTATCTTGGTGTCTGGTAGCTTGATCCTTGCAGTATAACTTCAGATAATATTGATACATGTTGGCACAATTTGGCATTCTAAATTATAAACCTACTGAGATTCATTGTGAATTGAGCTAACCTGCCGTATAGAAACAAAGATATGGACACTAAGTTTTAAAAGTAATTATTTTGTGATTTGGAGAGATATCAGATCACTCAAACCTATTATTAGTTCCCAACATTGAGCTAAATTCTAGATTTGCTAACAGATGGGATTGTTTATGGATAATGGCAGCAGTTTTCTACAAAAAGGAATGTAGTTTGTTTTCCTTTAAATGATCTGAATGTTTGTGTCCCCACCCCCAATTAATATGTTGAAATGTTAACCCACAAAGATGATGGTATTAGAAATGGGGACTTTGAGAGGTAGGTGCCTTATAAAAAGGCTCCACAGAGATTCCTACATCTTTTAATCATGTGAGGACCCAGTGAAAGGTGCCGGCTATAAACTAGGAAGAGGACCCTCAACCGAGAATATGACCATCCTGGTGCCTTGATCTCAGACTTTTTAACATCGAGAACTATGAGAAATAAATTTCTGTTGTTTATAAACTACCAGGTCTGTGGCATTCTGTATAGTAGCCCAAACAGACTAAGACATATGTCAATGTTCACTTTATAATCTGATCTTAAAAACGGAATTTCACATGCTTTTATTTAAACAAGAATTTTCCTCTTGAATCAGAAACTGTGGCCCATAATAGGTAGAATTTTTCAGCAAAGTACCTGAACACTATGCTTTCATTTTAGGAATGGCCATCTTTTAAGTATGAACTGCAATCCATCCTTTATCTCTGACAACACAGGCAGAGTTGAAGTCATGTTATCAGCAAAGATACCAGGATAAAAATGATCATTGTGATTGATCCCGGACTCATTGCTCCAGATACGAGGGAAAACTTGATGACCAGAGAGCTTTTATGGAATTAGGAAGGAAAATCTGCCAATCTATCCCTCAAAACTGCCTTTGTAAAGTGGCCCCTGTCACATACTGGTGTTCCTTCTCTGGATACATTAATGGCTTTGGTTAGCTCAGGTCGAGAGATGACCTTATATGGAATAATTTCCAATATGTATTTATCCAATTGATTTAATTTTCAAAGTAAAATGTTCAGTGCTGGACATCATTCCATACAGCCCTACTCACAGCGCTTGCTAGCTTTTTCACCGTGCATAAACTTTCACAAACTGTTGGGGTGCTCTTGTGGAAACGTGTCTTTTTGCCTATGGCCATTAGGCTCTCACAGGCTAGAAAGTGGAAAACTTGACTGATCACCATCCTGTTTCAATAAAATGGAATAGATATAAATCAGAAATACAAAGATTCCACACGGCATGGTGCATTTGATTTCAGAGCTATGTTTTTCTCGTTAGAAAAGTAATATTTAGTCATTGTCAAAACTCTAGAATATAAAGAACTATAGAGAGAAATAAATAAAAGTCATCCATGCATTTAACTCCCTAAAAAATTCCATCTTAACAACCTCGTATATTATCTAATTGTCTTTTTCTTTGCATATTTTTTTATAGCTGAGATCACACTGTAAATTGTTTTCTGGCTGCCTAAACATTTCCTCTTGTCACTGAAACTTTCTCATGACTATTTTTCCACAGCACTTAGATATTTATTGAGCACGTGGTGGGTGCTCAATGAATCTTAAAAAGATGTCTCCACCCAGACCTTCTTCAGCTGCTAATTATCTGCTGTATCTCTTCCTCTTTAATTGCAACTCCTCTTTGAAGCCTTTAGTATTGCTGTTTACCTCCCTCTCCCCACCAATAGTTTATTTTGAAAAGATTTCAAACCTATTATTTCAAGCCATAATAGTACAGTCAGCACCCATGTACCTTCACCTACTGTTCACTCACTGTTACCTGCTGCCACATTGCTCTTTTTTTCCCCATTTATATACACTTTTTATTCTGAATCATTTGAAAACAAGTTACAGACTTCATGACACTTTGCCATTAAATACTTCAGCACACGTCTCCCAAGAACAAGAGCATTCTCCTGCACAACTACAAACCATTTTTACACCTAAGAAATGTAACGTGTACACAATAATGATACTGAATATGGATAGGGTTTATCCCCACATTTTCCCCACTGTGTACACTATGTCCTTGATAGCTTTTTCTGTTATTTTTCATTCTGTTGTTGGCAAGATTCAATCACGTATCACTCAACACGTTTAATTTCACACTTTTTCCTGAACATTTTGGTTGCTGTGTAATACGTCACGCAGTGCCACAATTTTACCATTTCTTCACTTTTGAATAATTGCACTGTCATAAGTAAAATTTTAAATTCAAATACTTTTACCATGAAATCAATGTATGTTCATAATAGAGAAACCAGAAAATACAGGTGAAAAACTAAAGAATAGCTCTGTTTAAATGTTGATACATATTCCTTCTGCAATGCTCTGTGCATGGGTAGAGATTTACAAAAAAAAATGTTTACAAGAACATGATCATAAAAATACATATATTTTACACTTGTAATGTCATACACAGGTATGAATACATATATATTTTGGGGGTTAATGGCATGTACAGAAGTATTTCAGCATCAGTAAAGATTCCTTGATTATATCATCTTAATGGCTGTTTGGAACTTCTTTTCTTATTTCATAATTATTTAGTCCATCTGCTATTTTTATACAATTAAGATATCAGTATTTTTTTAGAGAGTATTTTTTTAAAATTAGCATTATTTTAATTGTCAATTTAGCACATTAGTTATTATTTAAGATATACTGCTAACTTTGAAACTGATGAATTAAATACAGTCATATTTTTAAGGCCTTTGTTCTATATTGCCAGATTACTCCAGAGAGATTGTTCCCTATTTCTACTCCTACCACAAATTTGTAGAGTGCTGGGAACTATTCAATAAAACTTCCTCTGCCATATGATTTGAAGTGCATAATTTAGCACAATAATTCTCAAATATTTTTGTCTCAGAACCCCTTCATACTCTTAAGTATCATTGAGTGAGGACCTCATAGACCTACATGTGGAATTCAAATATCAAAAACAGGTTATAGCTCTCAGTATTTACTTTGTTAGAAGTGAAAATTCAGAAATTTGTGTAATATTTATTTATCAAAAAACAATAGACCCCTTTTACATATTAATGTTAATTTAAATAGCATTTCATAAAAAATATTTCCAGAAGAAAAGCATTTAGTGAGCTGAGTGGCTTTGTCTTATATTTTTGCAAATATCTTTAATGTCTAGCCTCAGAGAAGATAGCAGGGTTCTCTTATTTGGGTCTGGGTTGAATCTGTTGCAACAGCACATGCTATGTAGTGTCTGGAAAACTCTACTGTATGTTGTAAGAGAATGAGAAGAAAAAGGGCAAATACTGTTTGTAGGGTATTATAAAAATACCTTTGATCGTATGGACTTTGGAAGAGCCTCATGGACCCAAGGGTTCCCCAACACACACTTGCAGGACCTCTTCTTTGGCCTATAATAAAAGTGGTTTAATGCAGTGTTTAAGAATGCGGGCTCTGGGAGCCAGACTGCCTAGATGCAAATCAAGTCTTCACAACCACGTTGGGTGGCTTTGGGCAAGTTATTTGCACTCTACCAAGCCTCATCCGTAAAAGTGAGCTAATAACAGTGCCTACTCCACAGAGTTGTGGTGAGAAGGAAAGGAATTAATGCCATTAATTACATAAAACATACCTGGGTTAATGTTGTATGTGTGTGTGCTAGCTGGATATTTGAGTATGATTCTGTATTTTCCTTTCTTTCCCCTGGATCTGTCTATTTACGTAGCAGTCCCATGCTGCTGTAATAATTATAACATTAAGATGTGTTTTAATATCTGGCAAGGCACAGCCTTTATTAATCTTCATTTTCTGAATATCTTGGCTGATAACAGCACGTTTACTCCTTCAGATCATTTTACCAAGTTCTGATAATATTGAGAGTTGATCAGAATTACACAATAATTAAAATTAATTTGGCTGGATTTCACATCAGTACAATTTTAAGCTTTTAAAATCTGAAATAGGGTTTCATTTCCATTATTTATGTAGACAGTTGGAAATTTCAGTAATTTGTAAATAACTCAAGCACCAGAGTTGCAAGGTAATCACAGAAAAGTATCATGAAAAGATTTCCATTTTTAAAACTGAGAAATGAAACTTTATCTTAGAAAAGGCTTATTAAATTGAATAAAGCCTCTAATAAAAATGGTTTTTAAAAACATTAAAATAAAAAAATGCTCAACGCTTTGGTGGGACTGGATGCTCAGCTGCATGCTAGGCAGTGTTTTAATTTGGGTAGATAATTCCTCTTTGTGCAATAATCCCACATTTCTATAATGAAAACTTTCTTATTACCAGCAATTGGAACAGATTTTCTTTCACACTAATTTTTTTTATTTCATCAGATAATCATAATTAACATTACATATAAATCCGCTATGTTTATAGTCTTACCTGATCACAAGATCAGCGGAGAATGACATTGTTAACTGCATATGTGGTCAGCAGAAGTTGGAGAGTTGTCTTCAATGTAGAAAACAGCCCAGAACTATCTGAATTAGAATAAAACTAAATCAGAATATGCAAGGGAGAGTTCAGCCTATAGGAAGCAGACATACAATTTTCCATGGATATTTATATGTAAACACTGTCTATTTTAAGTACACATTTATTGACTGCCTACCATGTTTCCAGTAAAGACCAGTTGATATACGTGTCTCCCCCTTGAGCTCTGAATGGTTAAGTCAGTTGCTAGAGATAAGTTATACAGCTATGAAGTAACAGAGACCAATTTGAACCTAAATCTATCTGACTTCAAAGGTTGTGCGTATCATAATTACGAGCAATCTTTCTCCAGGGGAGCTGGAGGCTCTTTGAGACTGCCAATATCCGAGAATAAGGAGGGGCTGTTCACAAGTGGTTACTCCTGTGTGACCCTTTAAAAACCCCTTCATTTTTGAGGTTCCCTCAGTCCTGTAAAGGCTCCTTCATGCCCACTTTAAAGCTCTCCACTTACTGCCAGTAGAGCCAGGATGGTGGTCAACATTTCCTCTTGTTACTTCTCAAAACACGTTTCCCATCAGTCCTCATGGCTACTCCCACAACCCCTCCCCTTTTCTTTTTTCCCTGCTACTTATGCTTTCATTCAGGTCTTTATTCACTCGTACACAAGGACCTGCTGAGTGCCGACCACGTGCCTGCCTGCAGTTAGAAGTGTCATTACTTTTCCACACGCCCCTCTTCCTTGGTCTCCTCTTACTAGAGTCACGTTGTTTACTCTAAGGCCCTGCGGTTTACGGGTGATCTGAATCAATCAGCTGCAGGGAAGCAGAGGTGACACTCTTGCCTGGCACAGTCCCATGAGGGCTTAAAACATCGGCTTCTTTTAAGTTATTCTGTTTAGTGACCTTGGTAAAAACTTCTTTTCTCTGACTTCAGATGACTGTTTTGGATTCTTGTGAGCATATTTAATTGTTTGCTAAGGTTGGGTATCGATTAACCGCATCAATGGTGGGTCACCTCCCCGTCCTGCAGCCTCCCCTGGGGCAGGCACGCTTGCACTGTGTTAAACCGCCAGCCACCTCAGGGAGACTCCTCCTGCAAGATGAGCAGTAACATTGCACAGTTATTCAGAGCTTATAATTTCATTCTTCTCTATCAGGACAATCTGAATCATTTGTTCCACTATTAAACGGTACTCTTTAAACAGTAACCTTTTTGTGGAAAAGAAATAGAAACGGTTTTCACAGAACTTTTCCCAGAACTTTTCCTTCCATAATGCAAAGTAGTACAAGTTAAAATCTAACCCTTTTCACAGATGATAAAAATCCATTCTTTGACATAATGCCTGCTTCCAGTTCACCTATTAATTTAAGGATGCCATAAGGCATTCACCAGAAATTATGGTATCATATTTACTGCCAATTTTAAAAAAATGTCAAAAATCCTGGACCCCTAGCAGTAGCAAGAAAGTATTGCACTGAGAAAAGTCAGTCTTCTAAAAAGGATCAGGGGAAGTAGTCAATGTCCCCAGACTGCAAATACACATTTGACTTTATGAATAGAATGTAGGGTGCATTGCTATACACACAAAACAGAAACAGTATGAGAGGATAAAAGGATTTATTCCTAAGAGGGTGAATTAATCATACACTTAACTTTACTGCTCCACTAAACTTGAATAAGGCTCATGGGTTTAATTTTGGAAGGAATATAAATCATTATACTTTTTTTCTGATCACCATGGTAAGGTATTTGTTGGGAATTAGTAGAGATGATTTTTCATGTGTTAAAAAAAACCTTTTCAAAAGTGCAAAAATTCAGACAGCGAATGACAAATATCAACCAATTGTTTGTTATAATATTTAATAGGAAGTTATCTTGGAAGTCTGACAAATCCTAACATATTTTGCTGAACATCTAACTATTAAAAGGTAGCATGCTTTGAACTATGCAACACCAACCTTTTATCTGTGTGCCTACAGGCAGAAATAACATCAAGGCCATGATGCTTGACCATGGAAACTGTGTCTGAGAAAGTTGTCCTCTGGTGGGAGAACTTAGGGACCACTGCACGAACACTGATGATGGAGCAGCACACGGTAAGTGTTAGGAAAGCCAACTACCCCGTCCTGCGAGGAGCGAGGACCACTGGCTTCAGATGGGATCTCTCATCAGCCCTTTTGCCTCCAGGTTAATTCTTGTACTTCTTCCCACCAGTGGGTTCTAGCCTGTCCAAGGCCTGGGACTGACTGATTTGCTGACTGATATTTATTTAAATGTTTTTGCTAGCAGTGAGTTTATATGAACTTTCTGTTTGGTTCAGAAAATGACCTCACCTGCATTTTTCTGCATCTTTATCTCACAGGCCCTCATGTTTCTAATGGACATCCCTGCCCTGCCAGCTCTGACCTCTAGTTGACGTTCGTCCTCTCAGTCTTTGCCTTGTCTGCCTCAATTCCTGAACCACGCAGTATTCTAAGTGCCAGTGTCCACCTCCTCGCCAGCGATAAGCTCTCGTTCTGTCCCCTCCTACCATTTCAGCTGCTTCGAGAGTTTCTGGAATCACTTTGGCCTCTGGGTGCTCTGGGGTGTCTTGTAACTTTCCCACCACTGTTCTCAGTCTTGGTAGGTAGACTACCTGTTTCTAGGCCCTTCCAGAGCTCACTGGCTCAGCAGGATGACTGGATTAGACTTTGCTTCTGTATTGGACTTTCTTTCCCCTGACTACTTGTATTTAAAACTAAAAGTAGCACTGGGCACTTAAAACGGATGAAGGGACGACTAGCACACATATTGGTAGAAGCCCCAGGATGTATTTGGGTGGTTGGTGATTTGCTTGTTTACAGCAAAAGGCCCACATCTGCCCCCAACTCTCCCTTCCTAGGACTTAGCAACCTCACTTTGTTCTTCTTTTTGAGTAAAGTGTGAAGATCAAAATAAAATCCACTGTCCCCAGGACCAAAGTAGTCAATAATAAGCGTTCAATAAATATTTATTATTGTTAGTATCGATTGCCACCTTTGACATCTCTGGAATCAAATAGTCTCATTAAGAGCAAATTCAATCCTATTTAAAACATTAAAAAAATTTTGAAAAAAGAAGTCACCTGATGTCCTAAGTGAGTTTGTTGCTTTTCTTATGGAGAAAAAAGAAAGAAATAACAGAATCGCCTTAAATCTCTTTGAGGATTTTCATGAACTTTCAGGTATAGCAACCTTTAAAATGGTGCCGTTATGCTGTCACCTTGGACAAGCCACAAAATGTCTCAAATACTATTTTCTTCATCTGTAAAATATGAGAGATGGAAAGCAGGATTATAAAAAGCCATTTCTCCCTACATCCCACAGGTGTGTGATTTTACACATATAGATATCCTGAAATACACTGTGGTGGAAATCACGCCTTATCAAATATACTATTCAAGGATTCATTGTTTTTTATGCAACGTAAGTCCAGTTTTTCGGGAATTAATCATTCAGAATGACATTTATGCCTTCAAGGATCCTTAATATTGAACGAATACCATTTTGAAATTTATAGAAATCCAACTGACAAAATGCCTTTGATGAGGTTTAGAAATTTAGGGTGAATTTTGATATTGCTAAGGAAATTAAAATAGAATTGAGCACAAGTTGTCTGCATTAGGAGAAAATAGTACATTACCTGAATTTTATACAGGTCAAAGATCATAAATAAATACCTGAACTTTTAAAATATACTCAAGCTGAAAGTTGAAAGCCTAATTAATCTGTAAAGTTAAAAATATTTTTATAAACTTGTAAATTGAAATATGACCTATCTTTATAAGAATAAATTGAGTTTTTATTCCTTTTAGTTGAGATACTTGTCTTAACTATATTACTTTTCAAGCTTGAAATGAAATTCTAAAAATGAATGTAAACACATCCCTTGTTATTTTGGTAATTCTTGAACAACAGGGACAATTATCACAGAAAATTATCTCAATATTTAGGTTGTGTTCTGACCAAAGACTTCCTTTAGAATTTAACATAATTCAGTAGTGTTTTACATGAAACAGCACAGAACAAAGGGTTCCACTTCACTGTTTAGCTCTTTTACTAATATAATATGTGTCTTTCATATATCAATTTCTTTCTAAGAACCGAAATCTTACCCTTTTAAAACAAAGGTGTTGCCTTAGATCAGTGTATCCTAAGCTATGATTCTAAAATAGTATTCCTCTAGCAACTTCAGGTTGTATAAGATAACAAAGTATCTATCTCAATTTTTATTTTTAAAAACATCAGTAATATAGCCATTGAAACCTTTCCCTTTAAAATGGAACTGTATTAGAGCCAGGGTACTTGCACACTGGCAGAATGGCTCCACGTTAATGTTTTGCCAGTAAAAACATTGCCTTCTTGATTTCAATATGCAACCTCCCCACGATGTAAATATTTCCATAAATTTTTAACCTAATGTTTATATGGAAATTTTATGTTGACATTCTCAGAACTCAATAAAAAAAAGTTCCATGGAAAAGTCTTGAAATACCATCTAATTATAATTAGTAGTAAATATAGATTATTTGGCTAGTGTCAAGAAAACATCAATAATATGATTATGCATCTCTAATGTTGCTGGTATTAAGGGAGACCATGGTACTACACACACACAAATGTGGCACCGCATCTTTGTTTCCTTTTTTACAAGCATGTTAATTGTTTGATGATTCCAAAGTGATGGTTTCCATATTCTTAATATAATAGTTTTTTATCATGTGTTTTTCTGTTCTACCTCTGATGAGGAATTTGGAGTTGACCAGCAACACCTTATATTTTTCCTTTTAAGGTAAAGGGAATGCTTCCTGACTAGATTTATTTATTTATATTTTGCACAGAATGTCTGAATGGATTCTGTTAAGCTAGAGATTCCATATACAAATTTTTATCACATTTTAATTAACATATACATATAATAAGACACTTGTTAAAGACAGAAAGGATAAGGGAAACAAACATCAGATAAAAGAATGATCAATCACCAATAAGGTCTTTTCCAGTTCACTTAACAGTAATTATTTTTAATG